TAATAGTTAGATTTTTAATGATTTATGCCTATCTTATTTAATTTCTTCCTTATCGTTATCCATCTTTATCTTCTCTTACAAAGCTGTCAAAGGCTCGAGAAACATATAAGAGTGAGGCTTAGTTAGGAAAAACAAAGAATAAATAGCAAAAAAAAGAATGGAAAGGAAAGAAGAAAATGAAAGGATGTGGAGAAGAAAAAGCATGAGAAGAATGGAAGAAAGAGCAGAAGAAGAAAATGAGAAGAGGGGGGTCGTCACAGTGACTAGAAAATAATAGAAAAAAGAAGAAAGAAAGAAGGAAAGAAGAAAAAAAAAGCAAGAAAGAAGAAAAAAGGGGGAAAAGAATTCAATATTTTCAGCAAAATTTTTTTTTTATTATTTTATTTCATAAATTGATTTTGGATTAAGTTTATAGGGTTGAAGGCTTGAATGAGGAGAAATCATTTTGAAGTGAAAATATTATTTGATGTTAATTCTTTTAGCTTTGATTTGACAATTTGAATACATTGCCATTTTGAATATATGATTAGTAATAATTAGTAAGAGGATTAAAATAAGAAATTTAGTTTAAGTTGTTGACTAACTCAGTGCAATTTAAATGATTTGATACTTAACAGTTGGGCTTCATTTTCATGCAATAGTTATCTTTGCTATTTTTTATTTAATATTTGATGCATTTAATTAATAAAACACGTCTTAATTTAAAATCTACTATACTAAGTTACGTTTTTAAATATAATGCTATAACTAATTTGATTAGCATAATATTTAATATTATTTTTTATATGCTTGAATTTAATATTAGAATTGTTTATTTTGCTGAGCGTTTTAATGTTTCAAATATTACGATGACTATATTTCATGAAAGGAAAAATAGTATGTGGGATCATGATCATGTGACTCAACTTATCATATACCCTAGTACTATAAATTGATTTACAATTTTAGGATGTAATATAGAAATGAATGCACATGATGTAAAGTAAAGAATTCTTGTATGTACAAGTTTTTATGATAGTATTATGTGCTATGTAGTCTTTTTTGATAATTTAAATTATGCACGCTTTTTTATTGATGCTTTGTGGCACATAATTTTGGTCAATAAAAAAAGCATTAAATTAAGTATTGCAGAGATGAGTATGCTCAGATGATTGAGTGACTTTACAAAGAGACATAATACAAAACAAGTATATATATGAAAATGTTGGAGTAGATCCAGTTGCAGATAGGATTAGAGAGAGTCTCTTTAGATGATTTGGTCACATAAAACGTCGGCCTTCTGATGACCCTGTTAGGAGAGTAGATGTATTAGATCTAGCCAATATTAACAAAAGGTAGAGGTAGGCCTAAAAAGATTAAATGGCTTTTTATTATATTTAAATGAGAATTTGACTCTTAAGATGACACAGGAGAAAAAAAAGATTCATGTAGCCCCACGTAGTGAGATAAAGGCTTGTTGTTGTTGTTATTGTATGTTTTTATATAAATAATTATGATGAAATTATTAAAGGAGTTATATTTTGTGACAATCTAGCTAGACTGTTTTTCACTCACTTGATCTTTATTAGTAAATATAATGGTTATTGGTGGAAAATGTGTCTAGCTAGGTTGTCCACCTCATTTATGTCTCATAGTTGACTGGAAAGATGTCGAAATGGGGCATGATTATAATGGCTTTGCATAATTCATTATAAACAACTGCAAAATAATTGTCCATGCGTGTTCGCTCAGCTGCTTTAACATGTGTGTATAAGATAAGGTATTCTTTTGGTAAGGATTTTGTTGTATTTATAAGAGGTCTTGTGATTTAAATATTCCTAAATTACTTACATTTTAATTTTGGTCACTTGCAATGGTTAGTAAAGGTTGTAAGTTGCTTTTTAAATGATAAATGGGCTTATGGGCCTTTAATTTGTTAAGGTTAGCTCATCTAAGCCCATACCCATTTGGGCTAGACCCATAGGGTCTTAAAAGAGTTAATATCACATGCATATGGGATGTTCCAACTCTTGACAACATTAGATGTCAATAAGAGAGGTTTGTTGGGTGTTGGCCGAAGAGACTAATTACTTGTTGGTGATGAGGCTGTCCAAGTAGAGAGATTGGTTAGCATGAAGATCATTTAGATGTATACATGTCAGAACCCCTACTTTTCAATGCAGTACACTTAAAATACTTGCAACCAAATTTCATTTGGGATTCCATCACTCAATTCAAATTCTTGGTGTTAAACATTTTATTCCAGATCATAGATTAGGATCTTGAGATGACCCTTCTTAGCTCCGCAACTATTAGTACATTGTTTAAATTGAAACAAAGCTGAATCAAATCATTTCATGTGTCAAACTTGAGTACGCACAGGTGTCTCCACATCAATGGTCTGTGCTTTAACGATCTTGCCTACTTTGACGGAGAACTTGGAGAAATTCCATAAACGTGCAATGAAATGCTCATCTCATAGAAGGACACTCGGAAGCTCTATATTATATTAGAGTACTTAAATGGTTGTTGTCTCTACAAGATCACATGATTAAAGAAAACAAGACTGACTTAATGTAAGATGTCTCATCATCATTTACTTGGATATATACTTGGAGCTATGAATAATGCTATTGGAGTCAAGTTCATTCATGGATTTGGACCATTGATATTACTTAGATAAGTGGACCTGATAGGTTGAAATGTGATCAGAATTCGGGAAGCATGCCAAGAAGGAATTCATGTCTTTCAAACTAATTTTATGGAGCTGTACAATTATTTTCCATTTTAGATGCTCAACATCTGGACTCTAGAGGTTATATATAGATGGCGAACTTTTTTGGATATGGCATATATTACATAGGTAGACCTTTATGAAAAATAAATTAATTAATAAAAAAATATACGGAGCGCATGCTTTTGAAGTTTTTCATGTTGGGTTCTATACTTTAAGAGACATCAAGATTGCTGGTATTCATTTTCAAGTAGTATTAGAAAAAAGTGGCAAAATATTAAATAAGTGGATAATAACGGATGATTTAAGAGGGAAATTGAAAAAATCATTAAATTTCTAATTTTCTAGAATATGGCCATTATGTTGAGAAATAGCTTTCTTAATGGAGGTTTCTTATGTGTAAATGTATTTGTATAGTTCAGAAACCACTAAATGACATGCGTTTATGATATACTTGATGTATTTCATAGATGATATCATCGCTTACCTTTTTATAACTATACCAAATTTATACTTTTGATAAGGCTCCTGGAAAGCCTTCTAGACAGTGCATCATATTTATGACCTTGGATATTTTCCAAAACAAGCACGATTGTGAAAGTTCGTTAGGAATGTTAGGCCCCTTATGAACTGGCCCAAGGCTAATTAAGAGAGAGGTGAATTAATATTTTAAACAAAACTCAAACTTAAAACCAAGATTCACCACAGAGAAAACACAATGCAGAAATTAAATACGGAAATAATAAAGGAAAGAATACACCAGATTTATAGTGGTTCGGTCAAATCTTGACCTACGTCCACTTCTTGGAGGCACCCTCTAAGTATTGCACTAAACTAAGTGTCTCTCATTTAGCCCCCACAGCTAGGCGGAGAAGCCCTTACAAACTCACTTTAACCTTCCCCAGTGCGGCGGAGTTGCCGGGTCTTTTGACACCAAAGAGATCTTCTTCTGTGAACTTCCCTCAAGACAAGCCTTGAATCCGACGGTATTAAGGTGCAAGCCTGCCGGAGCAAATCCCCCTCCACACTCCCTTAAGTCCCCCCTCACAGGATCTTCTCATTCTCTCAAACTTCATCCGTTCCTCACTCCCTTTCAAGCTCTCTTTTCAAGTTTTCCCCAAAAGAATGAAGCTACAATGGCTGCCAAAGACACAAAAGTGTCTTGTCAAAAGCTTAAATAGAAGATCTCAAAACGAGCTCATTAATGCAACTTGCCTACTTTATCGTCCAGGCTGATAGAAATATCGTCATGGCTGATTAGTACAAAATAAGCTCAATCAGCCGGGACGATTTGGGATGATCAAAAGAAAATTGGTTACATCGTCCTGGCCGATACAATATCGTCCTGGCCGATTAGTTCAAATCCGAGTACAATCGTCCTGAACATCGCCCGAAATAAAGTCTGGCCGATGTTAATCGTCCAGGACATCATCCTGGCCGATCGCAGGATTGTCCCGGCTGATCCTGCGATCGGCCCGGCTGATGGATCGTATCAATCAACCTTAAATGCTTTCCATAATTACCAGATTAATTTAGGCATAATTGTGCTACATCGTCTAAGCCGATGTATAGATCGTCCTGGACGATTTCCTGAAATAAAGAACACCTAAATTGATCATGGCGGCTGATTCTTTCTGATTTGAGCCTATCGTCCTGGCCGATACAAGCATCGTCTAGGCCGATCGGCTTAATGACGGCTGCCTTAATGAGGTTGATACCCTAATTAGAGTTTCTGTTTTTGAACCGATCGTCCAGGCCGATATAAATATCGTCCCGGACGATGTTACCAAAAACAGTAAACTCTAGGGAATAGACAGAAAATCTTCCAAGGTGTGTGTGTGCAAAGTTATATAGCATCAGGAGCCAAACCAAATACAATAGACTCAAGAAAGAAAAAAGGGGTACAAAATGACTCAGACCTAGTCTACCCAATCTTGAGCTGATTCCAAATTGCAGTCTGATCTTGTGGACCTGAAATGTCAGTAGATAAGACAGTCATAGAGAAATAAGAGTGTTTGCTATCATCAAAACCATAATCAATGAAAACAGATCCACAACAGATTGATCATCTGAAACTGATGATCTTAGCTTATTCTATACCGCTTGATTAGTTACTTTTATTTTTCTAACTTTAAAACACTGTTTTAAAGATAACACGATTGCAGTATTTTGTTGAACATATCTAAGTAGAATTTTTTGTTTTTCATGAATATCCATGAATGACGCTAAATACTGAGAATCTACCAGTGAATTTAAGAGCTGCATATTCCCCTTTTTCACCTTGAAGGCAGCGAGATGTTTGTGGGTCACATGGCATCCAATCATAGTGATGGTCATTTCAATTTGGGTCACGGCTCTCAATATGAAGATGCTCCTACGGGATTTCTCAGGGAAATTTCAAGGAAGTGCGGTGCCAAGGTAGAAATTCTTCCATTAAGTCCAAACTTTTTATGTAATTATTTTCTTCTATTGAAGTTACCTTTAGATATTTTCTGTAGATTGAATTCAGGTCAAGTTTGCTTGACACTACAGAACTGCAGTTTTCTACGGAGGTAATTTAACTGTTCAACCTATGACGGTAAAAAGTGAATACTTGGTGATTCCCTTGATTGGGGCTTTCAGAGGTTATCATTTTCTCATTTCTTTTTGTAGGTTTGGTTTGTTGGGGACAAGGTTGGTGAAGGCATTGGTAGAACAAGAAAGGAAGCTCAACATCATGCTGCTGAGAACTCCTTGCAAAATTTGGCCAGTATGAACTTCATTTCGCGGATTCATATTATTGATGAAAAATAGAATAGCGTCATACCTTTTTAAATGTGATTTTTTCTTTAATAATACATTTTCTGTTGTGGATTAGTTTTCCTTTTATGGTAATATCTTTATCTTAATTATCATGAAAGAGCCATATCCAAAATGCATTTCGTTGAAATAAATGAATGCTATGGCGCTCTTTGGTTTATTGGGAAATGTGGCTGTCCAACACTACTGTATCACCTTGTTCCAAGGATTTAAAAAAACGGGGAAAGGGGTTGGGGGACATATTTATATTCCTTAATTTGCATTTTTCAGACACCAAGTAGTTATCTCCTCTTCATATTTGTTTTCACCTGCCTATTCCCAGAAATTGAACTCGTAAACTTCTCTCGCTTCCACTAAGCTAAGCATTGGCTTGCCATAAATGGCGTCATCTTTCTATTTTCCCTTAGACGGGAAAAAAGAAAAGCACCTGCAGCATCTTGATTTTTTTTTTTGGTTCCTTCTGATGGTAGGGTTGGGAGAACATCACGATGCTACCATTAGCCCCTCTCGGTTTCATATCATATACTCAATATAGAGGTTTAAGGATGACAGGGATCCAACAAAGTATGGGTGTCATTAGTGTATCTTTCTTGCTAGGGAGTGGCCTTTGTATGAGGGGAAAGAGATTGCAAGTGTTGTTATCTTTTGGTTTGCATAAGTACATGTAGGCAGAGTGTGCAAGGGATGATGTTGGTGGATAATATGACTTCAGGGACTGTGAAAGATGGTTGCTGGGAGATGAGAAAACTGCTAATGTTTATTTGAAATCCTTTCTTTTTGATCTCTTGGCACCTGAGATTGAAATTAGTATTTCTAGGACACATTTATTTGATTTTCCTAGATTGTATATTAGTAGGAGTGAGAATGATTCAATTTCAAATTGATCCAATCCCGGTTCCAAAGTTGGTCGTAGATAAATCTGATTCACTGCTTAGCTTGAATCAACTAGATTTCAAGCTGAATCTATATCAATTTTTTAAACTTTTGCAAAAAAAAAAAAAAATGAATATGCACATATGTATATTTATAATATACACAAAAGATTCAATTTTTGGGCAATTTTTGATCTTCGAGGTAAAATCTCAGTCCTATACTCCTATATATTAGATCTTTGCTTTAATTTTGTCTTCTCCTGGTTTTCTTTGTTTTGACTTTTGAAAATGTGCTTGTTAACTTAATACGGTACAGTATTGAACATTATTTTTCTTGATATATTAATACTCTGTTAGTCTAAACACTCGAATATTTAAATGTGATATCATCTTGAAGCCTTGATTTTGTTCTGATTGCAGATAAGTACTTATCAAATGCGTTTGCTGATTCCACTCATTCTAAAGAAACTGGTTTTTCAAGTGATTTAAACTCAGGCAATTCAGATTCAACGAGGAATGATTTCCTTACAGGCAGAATTACTCCACTTTCCCATCATCAGGGTCATGAGGGATCAAAAAGAACAGCAGCTCCTGTTACCGCTCTCAAAGAACTTGTAAGATACTTGGACTTCTTGTTGGTTTATTGTTGGGTATATATGTGAATGTGTGACAAAATGCATGTTTTTTTTAATGATCTCTCTTCACATTTCAGTGTGTGATGGAGGGTTATAATCTTTCTTTTCAATCCCCATCTTTGCCTGCTGGGTGCTCAATTAGTAAAGGGGAAGTTTATGCACAGGTAATTTGCATTCTTCGGTTAACCACTATTACTCTGTGCTTGCTGTACTTCATGATATCCTTATTTGTTTTAGAGATGATACTTATCTCTTAAAGAAGCAAAATGATTTTGAAATTTCTGAAATTTTAGTTAGAAAAAATGAACCATTTCATGTTGTGTTGGATGAGAATATGAGAGCACTGTCTTCTTTCTGCCATTTTATAGTGGAAAATTTCACACTTAACTGTTTACACCGTGGTTTTGAACACCGGACCGAATCGGCCGGTTCGACTGGTTCAACCGTGAACCTGTTTTATGACCTAATGAAAAACTGGTCTAACATCAAACCGGTTTGAACCGTCGGTTCAACCGTCCAACCGTTGAACCGGTCCCAATTCTTAATAATAAGCCGGTTCAATTCATAATATATGTAAATAATTTAACTTAGTATAAGATAATTTTTTAAATATTAAATTAATTCAAATATAATATATTTTATAAATAAAATTTTATAATATAAAATTTATATATAATTTATATATGTAAATTATGTTTAAATATATAACATAAAATAATTATTTATATCAAATTTATATATTTATATATAAACCAAAATTTCTATTAAATATGAATTAAAATCAAAGATCGGAGATATTTACATTTAAATTTAAAATTAGTAATTATTTATATTTAATATATAATATAAATTAATAATCAATTATATTTAACTTCAAAATTATGGAATATATTATTTGTGTATGAATTTTATTTATTTTAAGCCTCAGAATTCTTAGAATTATGATGTTTTTAAGATTAGATTGTCATCATTATTATGTTCATTTTATTAAATTTTAATAATATTATTATTTATTAAGTCATCCGGTTCGATCCCGGTTCTACCGGTCAAACCGTGAACCTCTCTTTTTTTTGGTTTGTTGTTTGGTCCGATCATAACCTTGGTTTACACATTATTTGTTGGACTGATAAATAGCTGGTGGCTGAACTCTTAAGACAAACTCTAAATTTTCCTTTCTCCATGTAACTTTGGCTTTTTTGTGATGAAGGATGTTTTTGGGTCTTTGATTTCTAATGCACTTGTCGCATCACATTTTGGTATGCTCAATCAATGCAATAAATATGCAACTTTTGCATGATGCAAGCTATTAATTTCAAGGGATGTATATGTGTGTAACACCAACATTTTTCTTGTTTAAATTAGTGATTTACTACTTTTAAGGGATTCTTTTTTTGTTTGCCTCAGAAATCTTCCTAAATTACAATGTAGTTATTTACTATTTTCAATAAAAATTGAAAAGATTAAAACCCCATTCAAGTGAAAAGAGTTTGGCATTCTAATAAAAAATAACAACAAGAAAAGACAAAAAAAAATGAACGAAATTTATTCCATTAAAAACAACTATGATAAATAAAGCGAAGAAGATAAAAAACCGTGATGATAAATGAAGCAAGAAGACAGAAGAGAGCCAAGAGAAAGCAGAGAAGGGCCAAAAGTAACTATTAGGAAAGTTTCATGCTTGAACTCACAATTAATTAAGGATTAAAATCACAAAAGTGTTGACCTCCATGCTACAACCAAAAGAAAAAGAAAAATATAATTTTTAATCATTACTTGTAGAGCTGGCAGTCCATCCCCATATCCTGTGCGAATCTTGCTCAAGTCCTGTAACTCTACAATTCAGTGCTGAAATGTCTCTTCACTCTCGCCTCAAGCTTACCTGTTATCGTTGTTAAAAACGATGGCAAAAGAAGCCTTCAACTTCTTTACTTCCACACTCGCCTACCCCTCATGCAAGACTTAGCCCCAACCTTCCTCCTGTCGAATGTTTGCATGCCGACCCAACGCTTGTAGCCGAACCCCTGGTGCACTATCTCCCCTGTTCGAGCTTCCTCACGCATGCGAACCAGCCGAACATCTCCCTGCTCTTCCCTGTGTCGATCTCCTCTGCCCTAGCCGAACCTCACGCAAAATCCACACAAGTCTCCCGTCCCTCCTCCCTTCTGTCAGACTCCTTCTACGCCAACAAGCCAATGCCCCCATTCACATCCACAGAGATCCCGACGCTAATTGACCGCACACCCTTCGACTCAATCTCGCCGAACTCTCTAATGTGCTCCCCCCCCTCGTCCACACACCCCTTGCTTACAACCTCCATCGACCTCAAGTCGTCAAAACCAAACCCTCTAGCCGACCCCACCTCCCATTCATACACTTCTAGATCTCCTCCTCCCTGCTGTGCGGAACCCACACGCACAACCTAAAACTAAAGCTTCATCCAACCCAACCCTCTAGCCCCTCTCTTCCTCACACAGCCACTTAACCATGCCTTCCACTAGTTAACCAGCCCACAGCAACCCAAACTCCACACAACCCAAAACTAACCTGCATCTCCAACTAAACCCAATCTAGCCCACAAAAAAAAAAAAAGAAACGGAGAAAGATCTTTTTGCAATTTTTGCTATTTTCATCGCCGTCGCAAGTGTAATTCCCTAAACTTAAAAAATCCCGCTCTCGGCGTTTGAGGCGAGTCGGAGCACCCCGTATATGCGCTTTCATAGCACGGTAGGAGGGAGCCTGGTGCGATGCTTATGACGAGGCTGTTAGGCCTTGTACATGCTCTCGTGGCGTGGAGGGGACAATTTTAAGTAACTTTAAGCGCTCTCATAGTGTGGCGTGGGAAAGAAATTTACGTGTTTTGAAATAGGTACCCCGAAGACCCTTAAGCACTCTTGTAGCGTGGCGGGGATTGAAGAAATGCGGCCGCGGTGTTGCCCGACACCTACCTAAAGCACTCTTGTAGCATGGAGTGGAATGTCATGACTCTTGGAATTTCCACTAAATAGAGGGGACGTCGGGAGGTTGCTGAAATTCAGTTTGAAGATGCACGGAATTTGAGCAAAAGCAGAGGACCAAATTGAACAATTACAGGAGACTTGATTTAAACTTAATTGAACAACATATGACTATACTTGAACTTGAAAATGACGCAGGGAATCAGACATAACATTTAAAAGGAAATTGCAAATTAAAAAATAACAAAAATTTAACACAGATGAGCAAACAAGAAACTCGTGGATTTTAATATAACTCACTTGCAAGTAAGGAATAATGAGATTTTAAAAGATGCACATGCTATGATGTGACACTTTTAACGAATAACTATCTCAATCATATGGATGAATTGAGACGATTGCTAGGAATATAATGGTCCATTTGTGAGCAAAATAAGGGAAGCATGAGACGAATATGGCAAGTCTCCCTATAGGGATATTAGTTAACCTGCAAATAATGTTTATATTGCCTACACAAATGGAAAAAGGAGCATCCGATGAATGTGATCGATCTCCTACCAACACAAATCGGGGAATTGCAACAAACATGACACATTGTCTACAAGCAAAGAGCAATGAATATAAGAAATAAGGCTTAAAATGAATGTGATAACCTACTTGCAAATGATAATAATTAACCGATAGACGAGTGCACTATCAGCCTGTGAGCAATGATAGCAGAGGAGCTAGCTTTCAAACAAGCACGACGATCATCCTACAAACATGAGAAAGAAATAATGATAATGAGTGAGCTGAGAATATAGTGGCCTTCCTATGTTCCAGCTTCTTCAATATCAATCCGTTTTCAAATGTATACAACAGTTTCCATGAACATTGAAATACATGCAAGCTAATGCAGCAATTCACCGATCGACTTGTAGAAGGGAACTGATGACAAATACAGTCAATCAACAGGCAGGGAAGAATTGGCGACAAATGCGATTCACCCGACGATCAGTGTTGACTTACAGATGAACACACATGAGCTTGCAAATGATAACACTGATAGCTACCTTACAAATGCAATCAAAGAGGCTGTGAAGAATACAACAAAATGTTCATAAGTGAAATATGAGAGTTATGCAACGGATGGTGCAATCTCCATATAGTCAATATCAACCTGCATATGAACACGTCAATTCAGCTGCAAATCTACACAAAGCAATGTGCAATGAATGCAACTCATCCTTACAGTCAATCATAAGCATGAAGAAGAAGATGACAGTGAGCACTACACACTTCCTGTGCGCAGGAGTAACGAACTTGTGGTAAATGCAGGCATCTACAAGCCACTATAGGAAATACAGCAGCCCACATGCAACGACTAGTGACTTCTAGATATCTACTAACGACCTGCAAACGGATTTAATAAAACTTGCAATGCACAATGCACAATAGTCTGTTTGCAAGAGCAACAAGTTATTCGCACGTACAATGCCACACCACCATATTCACAACAGGCATACGAGCAGACAGAAGACTTGTGCAAATTCTCAAATGAAGCCCTGCTCATTTATTCTCAATAACAACTCATATGTAAAAAACATCAAACAATTCACGCCTACAACGACACGCCGCCAAATCGCAACAGACATACGAGCGGATAGTAGACGTGTGCAAATTCTTAAATGAAGCCCTGCTCATTTCTCAACAACAGCCCATTTGTAAGAAGCATCAAACAATTCACGTCTGCAACGCCATGCCACTGGATCTGCAACACTTACGCAAGCGGACAGAAGGCGTCAACAATATCTCAAATAGAGCATCGTGCACGTTCAAATGGCAGTCGCCCGTGCAACCGACCAATATTCTAAATTTCCCTCACACGTGTATTACAACATGTATACACACAAACATAGAAGTGCACATGCGAGCACATTAACCTGTATACATGCAAGAATATACTTCCGCATGGGCCCTGATGAGCGTATTATGGGTACACATGTGACATCTGAGGATGCTTCGAGGGTTAAATGATGAATCCAAGTTCGAGTCTGATCCTTCTATATGAGTAGATAGGAGTTGACAAGGTTTTAACCATCAAACAAATGTACGGTCGTGGTGTTGACTTAGATATTTATTTTAATACGTTCATATTATACCTTCAAGGTCTATAACTTAAATCTTTGGTTTGATCTTTCCATCCGTAGTGACTCAACTAGCTATAGAGTCATAATACGTTGAAGCACCATCAGGTCCAAAGAAATTGACAAGGTTTAAATTAACGATTGTTCTCTCTTCAAAATGTAGAAAGATTATCTTCAAGTATTTGTTTCTCGCATTTGGTATTATCTGGGGAACCAAATTTGGGCTTCACTTAGCCAAGCGTGGCTGTAGTATGTAATAAATGAATTCATCTAATGATTTTAATTCACAATTATAAAATTGGGTAGGCTAAGATTAATGAAAAATTGAAATTTTACCTTGGGTTAAAAGAGTAAGCTAAATGGTGAAGGGGATTGTTGCTAATAAAATATTCATTTTTGAATAAGATTGTCATACACCACGTTATAAAAGGTTGAGTCTTTTTTTATCTTTTCATCATGTCTATATGATGCCTTAACCCTTTTGGATCAATCATAGTATTCCACATATTATATATAATATGGGGAGAAGACTTGCCAGTATCAGTCACTCTTAACATGTCATATATTGACTCTATAAAAGTAATAATATAATATATTTTGTCCCACAATAAATCATCCAATATCATTGTCTTGATAAATTTGACCTTGTCTACATCATCTTCTATATACACGCTCCACCTATCACTAATCACCATGGTATGCATTCCTTATTTTATTATTTTGAATTGTCTAAGCACGACAATTGTTAAAGCAAAATGAGTCTATGCTATAACCTAACTTTTTAATTTCACAAATTAATTAAAAATTGATAATCTCGTTGAGTGATTTATGATGAGTGTTTTTATCAAGCTCGCATCGTCTGCTATGCCTTCGATCCAATTGCATTCTCCATGGGTGATCTCATTATTATTATTATTATTATTTTATAGAGCACATATATTATTCAATGCAAGATTCAATATATAAACAACATATGGAGTTCAAAAAATATGAGAATATTGTGTTTAAATCAAAACTCTTAGCACTCTACAAACTAGTGCATTGTTAGTGATAAATTAAAGTTCTTTCTATAGACCCACCTGCATAATCATTTCTTTGATTTGATTTGCAATATAGAACTTATCTTTATACACTCATTTATATTTAATGGCCTTGATGAACGTAGGCTCATATTTTATAACTACCATGACATTAATTATTGGTCTCCTTTTTGCATCTATCCAACCATCACAAACAATAGTAATTTCTTTCTCGTTCTAAGTCTCTTTGATATGCTTAAACATTCTTTCTATATTTTGCTCTTTCCTCTTGAAGTAATGTTGTCCCCAAGAGATTATGAACATGAGGAATGTATATAGTGAGGTGTTGGCTGCATATGATAAAGCACTAAAATAGTAGGGATTTCTCGCTAAATGAAAGGGAAGTGCTGCTAAATAGAATATGCGAGCAATTTCTTAATGCAAATGATCTCTACCTTACAAATTAAAGGCTTTTTCAATAGCATTAGAGCCCAACACATTAACTCTTTTTTGGTTCATAGCCTCTAACCTAAAATATCCTATTGATTGTGAGCTAGAATATTGGTTGGAGCCACTTTTTCCTGAAGAAGGAATGGGATCCTTCTTAAAGGAGGCATTCTTTTTATGCCTGCCTTCATCATCTAGCTTTTGTACTTCATGCAACTGTGTTGGTATTATTTTAGGGAATGATTGAATGCTTACTTCAGGTTATTTGAGCAAGCAAGCGCTCACCTTAGATTAAGTTTCATTGAACTTTTCTTGACAATAATGACAGTAAAACATTACATTACTTCTCACTCCTATTTCTCCTAAATTATTTAATTTGATAGCATATACTCGTATAAGTTTTGTCATCTTCTCTATTGGATTATTACCAATCTTATTTGTGCCACTCGAGTAGTCATTATTCCAGTATATAAAAAACGAATCAAGTTTGTAATTGTATGTTTTAATCAACTGATTGAACTTAATCCAACATATTGGTGAGTTATAAGTTATTTCCTCTTGTTGTAAATTTCTACATTTTGTTTATATGAAAGAGATGCTAAATTTTTTCAAAAATGTTCTAAAATTGTCATATGAAAATGGACAATGTCTGGAAGTTTATACTGGGATTTAAAACTTTTAAAAAGGAGTCTACATCCCAAAATTTGATTCTTAGAAGGCTAAGTAAAGTTCAATGCTCTTCGAAGATATACATTAATATAAAAATAAAAAAATATTTCATTAATATGAAAAGCATAGACAATGTTTAATATTGTTAACAAATTTGCAATAGATTTCCATTATAGATTGTATTTTATGCCTAACTTTTATGATTAAAAAGAGAAAAAAACCACACTTGTTGGGAGGGGAAAGAGACAGACAAGGTTAGATGTGTTGAGCCATGCCTATAATATGTCCGTACCCCACAGTTTTTGAAGTGTTGGACACATGTAGGGGTGTGCTAGCCATGTTCTTTCGTGACACGTGGCCGACGTAGACACAAGAGGTGTTTAGGAGTGCTTGTGCTTCCTAGCCCTATATACCTTAATGCCACCTCTTTCCCCTTGCTACTCGTATCCTCCAATTCCATTGCTCTTGTTTTGTGATTTCATCTCTATTTCCCAAAGTCTCATTCCTTGGTGTCATCGCCATCATGTTGTCCTCGTGACACCAACCGCTTGAAATTTTGTCCGTATCTTATAACATAATTGCTATTCTCTTATGCCATCCACTTTTATAAAGTTTTTTTATTATTACTTGTTAAAACAATATTTATTAATCTATATTATTAATAAAAATGCATTTAAGAATAACAGTATTGTCCATATTTTAAAGTGAACACTAATCATTTTTGGGACGTTTGAGCGATAAAGAATAATTATCTTGCACACCTATGCATCACGCATGATCCTGCTACCATTTTGGTTGAGGCTTCATCCACTCATCTACAATAGAAAATAAGTTAACACAATTCATGCATTTTTAAAGTTAAATTTGTATTTTTTATGTTAATAAATTAGTATTTTATATTAATTAATTCAGGATTGTACAAATAAAAATATATTGTTAATATACATTTTAAGTGCTTGTTAGATTAAAAATTTGTAGATCTACTTTACAACAAAAAAAAAAAAAACTCGATGAATTGTGTATTTTATATTAATTAATTCAGGATTGTACAAATAAAAAGATAGTGTTAATATACCCTTTTCCTCCAGCCTTCTGTGGCAGCTGTCCTTACCACCCTCTGTTGCTATCTATATTGCCTTTGTTTCAGTTATTGGGACCTGTTTCCTAGCTGTGTTTGCTTGTGATCTATAGACTTGCGTGACTTGTATGATTTCTTTAGCAATTCCTGCATCTGGTCTTCTGCGACTTCCTCTATTATTGAAATTTTTTGTTCTTCTTATGGGTTATTTTGATCTCTTGAAATCCCTCCAAGATATTTTTTGTAATTATATATAGGGGTTTGGTCGTGTACAAAACTTGATGAATTTGATCGCGAACAAAGTTCTAGTTGAATGTGCTATTTCTTTTACTTTCAGGAGAAGTCCTAGGAACTTGAGTATTATCTTGGAATGCAAACTTATTGTAGTAGTATGAGGCTTGATTTTTATATATCTGGGGAGTTTTTTTTGCTTTAAGTTTAGTTATGAAGTGATTGACTTTACTCAATTCCAATACAAGCTAGTTTTCAACAAGCGGGTAAATTTCAACTTTTGTTTTTCACAAATTGTATTTCTTATTTCTCGAAAAAGGCCATTACATTTTAATTTGAATTTCAAAATTAATGAATGTTTATTAATGATTAATCATTAGTTATCTTTTTTATCATATGTAAAAGGGATTGCACGTTGAGATTTGATTGTGTTAGATTTTTCTTTAATCTATTTTATCTTGATATGACTTTTCTATACAGGTTGAAATCGCAGGGCAGGTCTTAGGTAAAGGAATTGGAGTAACGTGGGAGGATGCCAAGATTCAGGTCTCAAACTTATTATTTTATTTTTTAAATTTAAAATACTTGAGATGTTTTCTTTGACATAGGAAAGCTACCAGCTAGCAAAGGTTCTGGCTTTTGATATGAGTGGCAAATGAATTCAATTCCTACAAAATCAAATTTAGTCTGCATGTTCACTCTCTTTGAATTTCTAATGTCGCATGATATTTTTCTTGGCTCTTTTGACTTTGATGATGGTTGATCCTGCAACCGTTTTTTTGATGTTTGACATTATGTAGCTTGTATGTGATATGTGCATTTTTTAGTTGCCAATTAGGGAAGCATGAATGTTTTTCAATTTAAAGAATCACGAAAGAGGGTATATTAGAAGTTTTAAGTTAGTTTTTGTTAAAACTGTTTGAAGCACGAATATGCTCATTTATGGATGCGATGATGCCGCGGTTTTACGTCTCTTATAGAAAAATACGACAAGCTTGCATGAGAGGGCGAAGAAAAAGAGTGTTCATGTGAGTTTGCTATGCACAAAGAGACAATGCATCTCCTCTCGGCATAGAGAGATTGAGCTGAGAGACTAAGGTGGAGAGAACAAGAGAAGAATGATTGAGTGGAAGTTTGGTAGTGTTGGAGAGATATGGAGATAGATGGGCAAGTGTGAGGGTTTCTTTCATTAATCTAGAGAGACAGGTGTGGGTGTGTGTACAGTGCAATGGGTGCAACAAGTGATCCACAAAGAGAAAGAAAGAATACGGGAGAGACCGACTATGTGAAATGGTGAAAGAGAGGAAGAATGAGAGAGGAGATGAAGTTGCATATCTTAGAAACGGTGAAAGAGAGGGAGAATGAGGGAGGAGATGAAATTGTTGATCTTAGATGCTACTTTGGACAGTGAGAGAACTAAGGAGTGTAGTTGAGACAAACATGGTGAAGGCAACTGAGAGTGCTCTTGTGTGAAACCAGATCAATTGATTACTTAAATGCTAAAATAAAATATTATCATAAATTTTAGTTAGAGATCATAAATATAGCAATTGTTTTCCTATTAAATTGTATTAGAATTTTGAGGTGAATAAGAACTAGAGAAGTACGTAATTTTTCATTTTTTTATTATGATTAAGGTTTGACCTAAACATCAATAAATTAATTGTTTTAAATAATAACTATATTTTGGATTCTTAATTGACTTAATTATAATTTAAAACAATTAAATCTTGGTGTTTAAGTCTTTTATTTTAATTGTAATGAAGAAATGAAAAATTATGTACTTCTCTTCTATTATAATTTACCTTGAAATTCTGATACAGTTTCATATAAAAACAATTGCTATATTTATGATATCTCAATAAAATTTAGCATTATATTTTATTCTGATATTTAAAAATAAAATCCTACGTTGCTCACTCGATCTGATTCCACTTGATCGCCTTCAATGTGTTTTCCTCAACTACACTCAGTTCTCTCACTATCCGAAGCAGCATTTAAGGTGGGTGGCTTCATCTCCTCTCTCGTCCTCCTCCCTTTCTCTTTTTCTCGCTATAAATCTCTCCTTTTCCTTTTTTTTTTCTTCTCTTTGTGGATCTCTAGTTCCACTGCTTATATGCTCACACGTCTAGCTCTATGTTGACGAAAGAAATCCTCCACTTACCTCTCCATTTTGTCTCTCTCCAACATTATCGATCTTACACTCAGTGATCTTTCCCTCATTTTCCTTGCCTTAGTCTTTTTGTCAAGAGAAACCAAACAAAATCTATGTCGAACGAACTTGCATTATCCCCCTTCGTCTTGTCACTCCTACTTGTTTGCATCCGCGAATGCGCCTATTCACGTTTCAAATAAATCAGCTCTATCAGTTTATTTGAATAAATTTTAATAATCTCCCCTTATAAAAATTTTGCCCTCCAATTTAAAGAATATAATAAAAGCAATTATGTGTTAATTGAATAAATGTGGATGTCATTTTTCTCATTTTTTATTCTCCCATGTAACATATCTTTTTGTCTCATATTTCGATAGAATTTAAACAAATGATATATCTCAATTTCGGAGTTGCTTCATAGCAACATATAATATTCTTTAAGTTTACTCAGCATATTTCAAATCAAGTTGCATATCAATTGAATATGGAAAAATCCTATTGGATTCATCAGCTATGCATTTCCTTTTTAGCTATATGAAAAATATTATGCACTCGCATGTGTTGATATTGCTAATTCATAAGCCATATTCTCATTTCTTTCAATGACTTCATATGGTTCAACGTTTTGCAAACTCAATTTTTTCGTCTTTCCAAAATGTCACACATCATTCATTGAACTAACTTTTTATAAATTGAAATTCATCAACATCAGCCACTGGCCTATGTTAGTATCATAATATTTTTGTCGTGGTTAATGTGCAACCTTCAAATTATCGTTTGATCATTCAAATCTTGTTAGTAGCATCATCCACTAGATCAACACCATTTCTTTTCTTTCTCCAATATCTGACCAGCATAAAGATATCCTGCAATTTCTTCCATAAACAGCTTCATACGACTTAGTTTTGATATTTGATTGAAAACTATCGTTATAAGCAATTTTCAATATTTGTAGATGTGATTCCTAACCTCAACCAACATCAAGAATGCATAATCAGGGTAAATTTTTTTTAGTTTGTAGTGTTCTATTTGATTACTTGGCCTTTGATGATCTGCCTTGATCATCTGACATGTTGGACACTTAGCCATGTATTCTGCAATACTTCTTTGAAGTCCTAGCAACCAAAATAATATTTTTTGGCTAATGATATATATTTTGTTGCTTCATGGGTGGATTGTATAACTAGAAAGATACACTTTTTGTATAAATTTTTCTCGTAAATTATTAGCAATTGGAACACAGATTTTACCTTTATATTTCAACAATTTATTTTTATTAATTTCATAATCTTCTAAACAACTTGATTTTACTAAATTTAGAATTTTCTGAAAATCATTGTGTTAATGAATTACATATATTTTCTTTCAATGCGACTAAATCGTCATCTATTTCAATAGAAAAAAATTTGCATCATTATAATATCACTTATTATTTTAGTCGGTCAATATCCTTAATTAACTGTGCCTATTGAAGTTTTTTCTTAACTCATTAGCAATAATATTTTCTTTACCAAGATGATATTATATTTCTAAATTATAATCTTTGATAAGCTCTTGCCATTGTTTTTGCCTTAAATTGAATTTCTTCTGATTATAAATATATTCATCACACTTTTATGTTTTGTAAAATCTTCACGCTTGACTCTATATAAGTAATGTCTTTATATTTTAAGTACAAATATAATTGATGCCAATTCCAAATCTTTGATAGTTTTTTTCATTATTATTTTTTTATTTGTATTGAAGCATATGTCATCAATTTATCATACTGCATTTATACTTTCTCCAATCCTTTCAATGAAGCATCACTGTATATCTAAAATTATTTTGTCCTTAAAGGAATGGCTAATATTGGAGCAATAATCAAATAACTCTTTTTTAACCTTTGAAAAGCTTCTTTACACTGATTATCCCATTTAGATCTCATTGCCTTTTGAGTAAACCTTGATATGACATAATAATCTAAGAAAATCTTTTAATAAATCTCCTATAATGCCTTGTATGGCTTGGAAAACTCTTTCTTTAACTGTCATTAGCCTTGGCCAGCATGCAGGAGATTTGATTTTATTCTAATCCATTGAGATATCATCATCATTGATTATATGTCCAAGGAATATCACACTCATAAACCAAATTTTCATATTTTGAGAAATGGGCATATAATTTATTTCTCCTAAGTATTTGTAAAACTGCATTTAGATGATTTGCATGGTTATCTTCATCTCTGGAATAAATCAAAATATTATTTATAGATATAATTACAAATATATCTAAAAATAATTTGAAAATTATGTTCATCAAATTTATGAATACTATTGGAATCTTTGTCATTCCAATAGGCATCACCATAACCTCATAATTTCTATATCTATTTTTAAATCATTTTTTTAAGATATTTCTTCCTATTGTGTAATTAATAGTATTTAGATCGAAAATCAATCTTTTATAGAAAATTGAAACTCCCTCAATGATGTAGACAAGTTTTGTGGAGGGGGGGGGGGGGGGGGGGGGGGGGGGGAGGTCTCAAAACAAGTTGAGTTTTATTCTTGGTGAGTTTTAATTTTCTCTACGAGATGTCAGGTCATTAATATCTACTAGAGTGTCTTAAGCTCATAAATTGAAGATTTATTAGATTCATTCCCCCTTTGGTTTCTTCTTGTGTCTCTTTGGTTTCTCCACTAGAGTCTCTTCTTCTCCCCTTTGTCTATTCGTTTCTTGTGCTGGGTGGTTTCCCGTGCTTTGTCTCTTGGGTTTTCGTGGTTGGCTGATGGTTTCCCGTGCTTTGTCTCTTGGGTTTCCTTGGTTGGCTGATGGTTTCCTGTGCTGGGAAGAATTCCCGTGCCTTTACCCCTTTGGTTTTTGCGGGTGGCTCCTCGGTTCCGTGCAGGGCTGCTCGGTTCTGCGGTTCCTTGCTTGGTTCCGTGGATTTCCTTTGCTCTGTTTTGCTGAGCCGTTTGGGATTTGTTTTGTGGTTGTTGGCCATTCATTTCCCTGTTTTTAAATAAAAAATTAACGTGTTTTAGTGGCTGTTTGTATTCCCTTTCTTACCTATAAATAGGGACTGATTTGTATGTTTAAAAATATGGTTATGTGAGTTTTTTTTTGGAATAGAAAACCTGCGGGTTTTGTTGGAAAAGCTTGCGAGCTTGTTCCACCTCTCTTCTTCTTCTCCTCTCTATAGCTTGTGAGCTATGTTTCGTCTTGGACTTCTTGCCTCATTCTTCTCTCCGCAAGTACCCTTCCATCTGTATCCTTCTTCTCAAAGAAATGCAACTTTAGGAATCTTTGTTTATGTTTATGTTTGTAAGCGTCAAGAGTTGTAAGGTGTCGTTTTATTTTCGAAGTTTGTAGGTGTTTAAGTTTGTAAGTCTTTTTATAATATTAAAATTGTTTTTTGTCTATTTTGTGTAATTTTCTTTATCCTAATAAGGTCTTATTTTTCTAGCAAAAAAATTAGGGGCCTCCTAATTTTTTTGCTTACTTTTGATTACATCACTCAAGCTGAAAAAATAATCATCAATTTATGGCTACGAGTACTTATTTTTATTTTTAACAGTGAGTTTGTTCAATTCCCTGTAACAATACATATTCTGAAATTTTCATTCTTTTTCTTTATAAACAGTACTAGCACTCTCTATGGTGACGTTCTGGGCCTAATAAATAATTTTACCAATAATTCCTGCAACTAGTTTTTCAATTATTGCAATTCTGTAATTGCCATCAGATATGATGTTCTGGCCACTAAGTCTAACCTAGGTAATAATTCAATAGTAAAGTTTTCTCATTTTGGTGGCAGTCTAGGAAAATCATTTAGAAATATTTATAGGTATTCCCTTACCATTGGTATATTTTTTAATTATTTTACCTCTTTAATTATATCCTTTACTTAGCAAGAAAAGCCTGATATATACTATTTAACAACTTGTAAGCTTTCAAATATGTTACGATCAATGACAAATTCATCTACCTCCATAGAATTTGTGTATTCTCTCTCCAACTAAGGCTTTGTTTGGGACAGTTTTTTTATTGCTTCTTAAAGCGGCTTTCTAGTGCAAAAAATTTAATTTTTGCACTAGAAAGCCGCTTTAAGAAGCAGCAAAAAAGTCGTCCCAAACGAAGCCTAAGTTGATTTCACCATTTTCTTAATTTCGCTATTTTTTATTACAAGATATAGTAATAAAATAACTAAATAGTCCATTTATCCCTAAATTTACATCAAATTCATATAATGACAATAAATTCAATTTTGTTTCAAAAACTCTCTCACTTATGTTAAATTTGTCTAACATAAATTATCTACAGTCATATTGGATTAATTTATTATCGCAACAGATTATGTTATAGGTATTTTAGAAACATTCAAACAAATTGGTTTAACTAACCTATCAGATGAATGCATGTGAATCAATTGATTTAACTAAAGTTGGTATATTAAAAATTGTCAGTTGGTTTTATAGGCTGCTGAAGAGGCTCTTGAATCTTTGAAATCCAGACCTGCGCACGTTACACAAATGGGCTCAGGCTCTTCAAGGTTAGTATTATTTTTTCCGCAACACTTTTTTTTCTGCTGATTCCAGAGTAGAAAGCAAAATATGGATGATTGATACAAAACAAGTAGGATTAGTAAACGATTGGTAAAGGGAAGATGGAAACAATAAACTTTTTGTCAAGAAAGAAATGAATTCTTCTTTAATACTGAGGAAATAAGCTAAAATTGAGGCAAATTAGTTGTGGTTTCAAATTTACAAACAACTAGTAATAGAATGCGAAACTATCCAGAGAAAAATGAAACCAGATTAGTTACATAACCGTGTTTGCTATGCCTTTGTTAGCAATCTCATAGATCAGCTATGTGCTGTGCACTGTAGCTTCATATAGGGGAGGATTAAACTGAATTCCTTGTCCTCAATCATCAGTCTTCTTCTGTGAAGATGTAAATCTAAGTAGGCAACTGCGGCTTTCTCAAAATGATTTAGGCCTCGTTTGGTTCCCGGCTCCTTTTTTTTGTTTTTGAACGGAAGTATTGGAATGGGATTTTAGATCGGCAGAGAAGGTATTTTGAAAAAGCCATCTTAACAAACAAAAAAACAATAATTTTTTCGCCGATTCAAACTGGAGACGAAAAAATTATGGCCAAACAAATGAGGCCTTAGCTGTTAGTAATGGCAAATTTATTTATACCGTAAGAACGCTATCTCGGCTGGTAAAAGAATAAAATTATTGGAAAAGACATCCGCATCTAAACATATGCATGAAAATAGAAGAAAATTTATTTGAGTATATGTTGATACTGTTGACCTACAAACCTAACCAAAAATAAAAAGTTAGCGTACCCGTTCGGCGCCGAACTCCGCACGTCGCGCACGACCGATGTCGCGTCTCGCATGTCCTCCCCACGACCTCATTGGAGCGTCGTTAAAGAAACAAAAAGGAGAGGCTTTCGGCCTCTCACGATCACTCTCGCTTTCACTCTCTCCCTCTCCGACTCTTCGCAGCTGTGCGACTTCGCTTGATCGACGACGTTCCCACCTGTCTGAATCGGAAGCTACGCCATTTTGATCGTGAGCAGCGACAGGAAGCTCGCTCGCTGTGAAGATAACTTTCTTCCTTTGCGTGCTTCTCCCCCCTCCGACGCCGTTCGACTTCGCTCTTCCACGACGTTCCCTTCCGCCGATCCTGAGGACAGGAAGTTACGACATTTTGATCGGACGCAAGAACCAGAGCTCGCTGGTGGTGAAGTCGACCTCCTCCCTCCGACGTCCCTTCCAGTCGGGGCGGAAGTTACGACACTTCGATCGGCAGCAACAACGGGAGCTCGCTACCCGTGAAGGTAACTTTCTCCCTTCACGCGAGCTTCTTCGGCCAAATCCCATTAATCCACCAAACCGAGGGATTAGTAATTTATATTTATTTTAATTAAAATTAATTTTAATTTAGTATAATTATTATTTTTAATTATAATCATTTTAATTAATTATTATTATTGTAATTAATTATAATTATTTTTAATTAAATTAATTATAATGAATATTAATTTTAATTATAATTAATCATTATTAATTAGTTATAATTAATTAAATTTAATTAATATTAATTAGTTATAATTAATC